TTTAACGAAACTTTTTGTGTATTTGAGTGGGTCTCTGGATGGTTTAGTTTCACAATTTAATCCGACAGTTGGCGCTGTAGTTGAGTTATTACTCAAAATCTTGTTTATTATCCTATTTGGATAATGTTTTAAATATGTAAGCAATACTATTGCAAAAACGTGCTGCCAAGTGGTGCTGAAGTCGAGCTATTACTAAAAATAGCCAAGTAAGAAAAGGGGCCGTGAAGGTCAGATTAAATCGACCTGTTGCACGATTGAGTATATCGAACGCTCCTGCGTTGCGATTGGCCCAATGGATGTGATTTTCCAATATTATTATGCGTTCAGACTTTTAAGGTATTTCGTCTGAAATAAGTATATTTATATTGCATTTCTGTAGAACAATGATTCGCACCCATTTTGAAATTGCCACCTACTATACTGTAAAGCTTCTAGGACATTCACTATAGAACCGGGTCATTGTTGCCGCCAGGGAGTGAAGAGGAAAAAATTTATTTCGCTTTGCGAATAACCGTGCTATGAAATGCCGCACAACTGGAGAATTTCAAGAACGGATATAACACTTTCCTTAGGTTATTTAAAGCGGCAAATGACCACCAAACCTTAATCTTAGCAGACAAATGTGCCAATGAAAATCGTAAACGTGAATTGTTGGTGAAAATGTTGGACCAAAAAGTTTCAATAAAATATATAAAAATTTTGGGCGGGACGAAGTTCGCCGGGTCTGCTAGTAATGAATAAAACTCCTTCCGAAATAAACATTCTACTGGAAAAGTGCAGTTATACTAAAAAAGCTAACCGAATAGGCAGCTGAACGCAATGTACCGTAGTAGACTAATTTTGATTTAAAAATTCTATCGCTGCCTAATGGCCCTATTATGTATGGCGACTGATAGCCGATGGGCAACCGTAGACTGAAATTCGCATTAATAATGGAACAAGATTTGTATTACAAGTGATGGACAATATATATTAGTTCAAGCACGATAAAGCTAAAAGTATGGTTCATAAGGATGCCTTAATCCTTTAATTTATGCTGAACTGAATATTTGCACTAATGTTTTATATTTTCATTTGTTTACTCCGAACGACGTCGGGTGCTCTACTAGTAAAAGATATAAACGATTTCAGTTTCATACCTATGTATTTCATTCACTTGCTGTTGGACGGCGCTGTTTTCAATCAGCCTTATCATGGGCGGATGAATTTGTTTTCGGGCGAAATTTGAAAAACCGCCTAAAGTTATGCAATTATTTGTTTTTTGAAATCAACTACAAACCACACACTCGTTCGTACACGTGGTATTCACATATCTATAGAACCTATGAATGAAAATGTTGAAAAAATTGATTTATGTGAAGTAATTTGATCGAGACAAACACGTAGTTTAACCCCCCAAACTTCGAACTTACTTTGTATGGAAGAAACTGCATGAAAAAATTATCAAAAATCAACGCGATTTTCAACCACTTCAAACTTGCACTTGGTAAAATTGAAGGGGCTATAAAACTGTATATTTAGAATATTTCTAAAAAATCTGACGAGTTGCAAATTAGTATGGTAATTTATTGCATTTTCCTGAGTTTTGCCCAAAGTCTAGAGATTTTATTTTTATGTTTTTCTGTCGTAGTATGAATTATAAGTTCATGAAAAGTTAACGGAAAAAATTTAAATGCCCTACTTTACTAAATTTTTTCTGTATTTAAACTTTTGTCTTTTACTGTCGGTACATGCACATACATATATGTAGCATTTTTACTATTTATATTTACTTCAATGCAAAAAAGAGAAAATGGAAGAACAAACCAACCACACAATCAGTATTTACATAATAAAAATACAGAATTTCGCATTTTTAATAGAAACATGAGATTATGAACAAAAAAAAAAAAAAATTATAATAATATTGTAGCATTTCCGCTTCGTGTTCACTGTTATCTTTACATGAAATTGTTGCAATCGCGTGTTTGAATTTACCAAAAGTCTTAGTCCAAAAACTAGTGTTTCAGTATTAAATGCCTCAGTTTGAAATTAACTGTCGAAATAGTACAATGAAAATTTATTTGTTGATTTTTCATTTAATTTTAATAAACTTGAACGGCAGTACCGTCACTGCAGATGATGAGCCAGAAGACTATAAATTTATTTTAGATGCAGTGACAGCAGAGAAAGAAGATGACGATGTAGCTAAAATTAAAGTAGAGCTGGATAAAAGCGGGGATCTCGTGAAAATCAGTGGTCAAGCAGAGCTATTTTTTGATTTGGATAATACATGGCAGGTATGTATTTGTAACTACCGAAATTGAAAGGTTTAAAGGTTTTCCCACTTCTTTCTACGTACTCTTTGCAGCTGAAGATTGTATTGAAAGGTGCAGGCGATTCGAATGATGAGTACAAAGATCTAATAGCGCTGCCGCTATTGGGTGTTTGTGATTTTATGAATTTTTATTACAAAATCTATCTTTACGATTCGTTGGTGAAGTATTCGAATGCACCTTCGCCAGCCGATTGTCCGGTTGTAAGCGACACCTACATTCTAAGTGAATATCCTTTGATTTTGGGCAACTTTCAAAAATTCCTCCATCCTGGATTCTACAGCGTCGAGGCAATTCTGTTTCACGAAGATGAGGAGAAATTCAAATATCGCATAGAAGGTCATGTAATAGAGGAACGATAAACCAGATCATAATCCATTAATTAGGCTATTTGCGCTGCTTACAATATATAATATATGTAATATGCCTAGTTTTGAAGTTTGCGACACGCTACGTAGTTGGTGCAGTTTCATTACTAAATTCCTTCAGGCCAAATTAATGAATTCGTTTGTGAATAAAATATAACTATGTACAATCCTTTTGAAAATAATGCGCAGCAGAGAACGCTGTTTATAAAATCAAATTAAATTTGTATTAAGGGAATTATTTATTTAAAAATTATATATAAAAATAAAATTTTTTTATATACCTCTCATTTATAAATGGACAAAAAAGTAGAAAATAATATTTCTCAGTCCCATAGAATTAGTTTTCATAACTTTTGATTTTGAAATTATAGCAAAAGTCATTCTAAACAATTTATGAGATAATAATTCCACTTGCAGTGAAAAGAGAACAGAAGACTATGCAAGCAACGTGCCACGTTTAGTATTTACATACATATGTATGTATGTACATGCATATACATATAACAGTAATTGATTTCATTTAAAGAAATGGCGTCCATATCCGCTGTAGCGTATGTAGTGCATATTTTTGGGCGCAATATTTAACTTCTTCTGGCGGGGCGACATCTACCCCTAGACTCTTCTAATTGTATGTCTTTGTTATGATACCTACGACGAGGTTGATATCTATACTAGGTTGCTATATTTATAGTAAAAATGGTGGTCTGGACATACAACATTGCAAGTTGATAAAATCATTGTAAAATGGATGTCGAGGCTTTAAAAATTTTAGTTTGAAAATATTTTGAAAAGGCTTGCCACCTGTTTGAAAATTCAAATTTAAACTAATTATTCTAGTACTAGTACTTCATGCTAAGTACAGTTCTATTTGTTTTGTGTGTTTTCATCATTATTTAGCCATTTTTCTTAAGTACTTTCATACCATAATTTTTCTAAGTGTAAATAAAAAACCCCATTTTGTAATAGAAAATATTATTTTTTAATTAAGGAAAAAAGTTTATTTTTTCTCATAACATATTTCACATTAATAATTTTTCTCACGATAATGCGATTTTTTTAACAAAAATAATGTAATGACTTCTGTAGCATCATCTTGTGCAACTTTTACAATGAAACTGGCATAAATAATGGATTACTCAGCTTTGCAAACAGTAAAAGTACTATTTTTCGATGAAAAACCATACAAAATAGCAAAAGTTTTACCGCAGCGCAACTAGCGTAAGTTTTAGGTGAAAATAAACATCAAAAATGAATTCCTCGACCCAAAAAAACAGTAATATACTACAAATTTCCAGAAGAATTTCATTATTTGATAGAATATTCCAAATTATTGATGTGTATACATCTTTGGTTTCGGTAGGGGTAACATTTGCGAAGATGTAACGCATATCCCAGCAGAAAATTTCGAAGGGCTTAGCATGTGTATTTCGACAGAAAATTTTTATTTTCAGTAGAAGCGCCCTGTGTTGACTTGCTATTGTAAATGGTTGCATACATTTAGGTATATGCACAGTAAGAGGAAAAAAATACTGAAATAATCTTTACTGGGACCGTTTCTAACTGATGAACATATATGAATATATGTATGTATAATATAAATATGTATGGATGATATAATAGCTCTGATCCAATACTTTTCGTGTAAATCACTTTCACAGCAAAACGTACTGAACAAAAACAGTATCGGGTAAAATCTTGCAACTTCAATCTCTACAAAACTCTCCAAAAATCGCTCTCATTTACATGAACAGATTATATTCCGAGAAGAAAATTTAAATTTAGGAATATATATAAATAGAAATGATCAAACTATAAGCTCAAAAACAATAATTGATGCGGTGTTTTCAAGATATTTAAACGCTCTTGAGTCAAAAAGTTATACAAGTATCATATTTTATCAATCATACCGATAATTACCGATAATTAATTAAAAATGAAAATTTAAAAAAAAAAAATTTAATCTGAAACCGAATAAAATTAAGTGAAATTAATATTTAATCTCTAACCTAACCTACATGTGTATGTATGTAACTGAATCGCCTAAGAATAGCTTTACATATAAAAACATTTTCCACATTTTCGAGCTTAACTCCCTTATCTGTCATTAGAAGAAGATTAAAATGTAAAAGTAAACAAAAATTGACGCTGGTAAGAAAAAGAAGTTTGTAACGGTATTTATAATAAAATATTCAGTTAAAATATATTTACATAGCATAATATGTGTAGTAGAAAAAATTGACTACGGTGGCACAGAGAAGAAGTTTAACTTTTCCTCGAGTTGTCTGAATAACAAGCGCAACCAATTCTACAGCTAACGAGCTTTGATTGAGATTATATTTTTATATAAACGTACTTTTATGCTTTGCGTACGCATATGTTTACACATTAAATTTCATGAGTACCTAGTACCCACGCGGTTTTTTTTTTTAAACCGCATAAAAAATAAACCGGATCTAAATAAAGGCTTATAAGGATTTTGGAATTTTTCTAAGGGAGTTGTAAACTTTCGTTTAAGTTTGGTTTCATCACCAGACAGTGTGTGTACGTAAACTTTTTTAACCCATGATTAGAATACGATCTGGCCCTGGTGATCTCCAGTTTTGAGTGCTCTCTACAGCTTTTTTGATATCGGCCTTAGCGAAAGTCACGTTATCGTGGTTCCACGCTTATTTAATTTGATTTAATTTAAATTAATTTTATTATATAATTTTTCTTTGATTCTATTTAATTTAATTTTATATTATTTTATTGTTTTATTTAAATTTTTTATTTTATTTTACTTTTTTAATTTAATTTAATTTAATTTAATTTAATTTAATTTAATTTAATTTTATTTTATTTTATTTTATTTTATTTTATTTTATTTTATTTTATTTTATTTTATTTTATTTTATTTTATTTTATTTTATTTTATTTTATTTTATTTTATTTTTTTTCTTTCGTATTTTATTTTAATTTGTTTTATTTTAGTGTATTTTAGCTTATTTTACTTTATTCTATTGTATTTTCTTTTATTTTATTGTATTTATATTGCTTTTTGCTACACTGTGCTGCAAAGTACAAAAACTTTCATAGGCGCACTTCTATTGCTTTTTCGGCAGTTCCACTCACTACCAATTTTTGCACTAAAAATTAAAAAAAAAAATGAATTAGCGTTTGAAATAAAGTATGTATGTACATAAGAATCTCGACAAAGTGCTATAAATGTAATAACAATAGCCACTTTTGAAAGTAGCAGAAAAGTGGAAGATTAGAAAGAAGTAGATAAAAATGGTAGTATAACAGAGCACTTCACTGATGGATATGAGGAATGAAAAAAAAAAAAAATACTTTCATCCGTCGTTTTGAGTGGGTAAGACCGGGACCGGGTTAGCTAGATTTGAGGTGAAATGCAAAGCAGAAAGAATAGGTACTTATCGTGGCCAAGTACACAAATGATGGCAGTAAATATGTAAGTGGGGGTACAAACCGAGTATGAAAATGCCAAGAAGAAAATTCCAACTCCTAGAAAAAATATTCTGCTTTTGTTCTTAGCGAATATGAAATGATGCAGCTTTATTTTCTATGCAAATTTTCATTTCATTCAACGATTCTATTCTTTTATTTTTTATTCTGAAATATTTTGCTCTTTTAGGCGCTTTTGATTTTTGTAGTTTGCTCCAACATCATTCCATTTGCATGAAAAAGTTCTGCATTAAAAATGCAATGAAATTTATGTACATAGCTAAGCAAAAGTTTGGCGGCGATATGAAAATAAGTCGGGCGTTTGTTTATGACCGCCATTTTGGTTTAGTGAACGGCTGTGCGATCTGAACTTGCTGTATTTTTACTTACATACATACTTACTTACTCCTTCGTTCGAAAGCCTTTTGCATTTATTGCGTTTGATGTTTTTGGTTCGACCTTTTTATCTTCTTTTCTCATCTTTTGATTAATGTCTTAGGCTTTTGGGTGGCTTTTTTATGCAGAACTTGCCTGCTTTTTAAATTCATTCTTAGTCACCTTCAAATGAATAACTGAATGAAAATTTCCATTTTTACCTCTGATTTTTGAACGCTTGATTTTAGTATTTATTTTTGGCGCACTTGGATAGATGACCTTCGTTCGACGGGTTTGGCTTTGTGCGTACACTTTTCATCACTATGAATATAAAAAAGTGAAATCAAGACCAATTGTGTGATATTGATTTATATTTTATGCTTGTGTAATTTTCCTAATGGATTATTTAGGAAGACAGCAAGTTTTTAAATGACTAAAAGTACAGAAGATGAATTACTCAATTGGATGTTGAATTAAATACGTAAAAAATCCATCTTAGGAAAAGTTTAGTTTTTTCAGATTATTTTAGAAAAGGAAACAATGAAGTGTCGTCCTGTCAATTTCCCAGAAAAAATTTTGTTAGCTTTCGGCTTTGTTTTTTTCTTTTGTTTGTTAAATTTTCTTTAAAATTTTAGATTTTATTTACAAAAAATATTTTTTTTAATTGTATTTAATTTCTAGAAACTGATTTATTTCATTCTTCTTTTAATAAAATTGTTTCCTATTTAATTTTATTTATATCTTTTGCTATTTTAAAAAGAAATATATATATTTTTTAATTTCATTTAACTTTTTGGATATTCTTTATCTCTTTGATTTATTTTTCTATTTCCTATTTAATTCAATTTCTATAATTTTTAAATTTTATTATTTAAAAAAAAAATACCAAATTTTTTTAGTTTAATTTTTTTATTTTTTAGAATTTTTTTAAAGTATTTTTTTTTAATCTAATTTTTTTAATTACATTTTCTTTTTATTATTTTGAAAAGAACACATTTCATATTTAATTTAAAACATATTTCTTTAATTTTTCTTTTGTTTTTAAAACTAAAAAAATATTTCTGGATATAAAGGTTGAAATTTTGGTGAACATTTTTTTTTTTAACATTTAAGGTTTTACTTGTGCGATTTTTTTTCATTTTAAGGGAACCCTATAACTGCTTTCAATTAGTGTAGAACCGATTTTCTTCAAAACTGTTATCTTATCTTCACTGTTCAAATCAGTTGAAAAATGAATACTCTCGCCTATTTTAAACAGAAAATTCTAATTTGACACTACTGTGCAGTGTCGAAATCC